CCAGACCTGGGATTTTAGTCCCCTTACCTGTTGTGTGAAATCTTCCTTTCTCTTTCTCTGCAGAAACCAAAATATCCTTTTTATTGGATAGTATCCATAGAGTGATTAATGAGGAAAGTAAGTGCCCATTTGATGCTCTAACCTGCAGATAGAATGAGAGCTCAGAAATACTCATTTATTGTTCTTCCTGTTCAAGCTGTGATCTTGGCCTGTATCCTTTGGTAGGCTAAATGTTAAGGATTTCAGTTCAGCTGTAAGATTGAATACTTTCCCAAGTACATATTACTTTTGCTTAGTATTCTCTGAGAGCAAGGGAAACTTGTCACCAATTGTCCTGACTCTGATGTTGCAGCAGTCTTCTTTCTTCATTCTACAATAATACATAGTACATGAAGAAAAGCCAGAAAAGACTGATATTATCCATTAAAATTACACGTGTTTTATTGAAGTTTCACAGAAGTCACTGGAAAGACTCCAGTTGGATTTGGATGAGGCTTATGCTCAGAGCATCTTCTATGTAATCAACTTCTATCCTCATCGTTTAACAACTGTCTTCTTCCATTTTCTTTTCAAAGGAAGAATCAGAGCCTTTCCTATAAAATGCTGTAGCGTACTGCCGCCAGTTCATTTAATATCTTACTTAAATAAGAGTCACCTCTGCAACTGTACCCTGCCTGCAGAAACCTGGGGTGTTTGTGCCCTTGTCTTGAGACAAGTGTCGTGTCATCCAGTGAACAAATTGCGAGTGTTTCCATTGCATTTCTAGGTTCAGAAGATTTATCTTCTAAGAACAAAAAGAGCTCTTTTTGGAAAGATTTCAGTGCTTATTAGAGGAGTCATTAGTCTGGGGATGATGGACTCAATGGAATTCTCAAATGCCACATGATATCTGGAGTTTCCAGCAGCTGGGTAGAGCTGAGCATCTCCTGTATTTTCTCTAGGGATTAGATTCTTCTTATCCCATTTCCTAGCCAATGAGCTTTTACGTTTCAGTTAAATTGAGTTCAATTATAAAATCAACTGTCTGCCTGAAGTCTTGTATGTACCCTGGAGGGTTCCACAACTGCTGCCAATTAAAGCAAAATGCTCCTGATCAGATGCAGGTTTAGGGGGAGCTGCTTACTTTTTGGACTTAGACCTGCTGGAATGATTTGTTTGAGAATAAATTTCAGGGCAAATGTAACAGGGTTTGTAATGGGAACCTAATCCACTTCAGCTGATGAATGTTTTCCGAAGTATCCATTATGTATTTTTTTTTTTCACATTTCAATGTTATATTCTCAAGGAAGGTAGATAGCATTGATCAGTACAAGGATGTCAGCAGCAATTGTTGATGTGTGTTAAATACATCATCTTGTTTTGCTCTGGAATGCTGCTTTAAGAAGATGTTTCCTTCCTGAATAAGTCAGTTGAACTGATTAAAGTTCCTATGGCATCATTTGGTTTACTTAGTGTATTTTTTCCCTAATATCCTGGCTATTTTTCAGCTCTGACTAAAATTAGTTATAGCCCTTACATCATGGAGGTCTCAACTGTTGAATAAGGGTAACAAAAAGAACCCCCCCAAAAGGCAAATATGCCTCTTCTATCTCCTAAATGTACCTTTAATCCTATGCACACAGAATATTGCAGCACTGTTTCTATATGTTTCCACCTGCTTGTTCTTGTGGCAGGTGGAATCACACCTGCTCTGCTTCAGTGCAGTCAGTGGAGAAGCCAAAGAGCTTGAAGTCTCACCAGGTTAAGCATGGGAGGAGATGCATAGGTCCTGCCCATATGTCCTAGAACTGTCCATGGGTTCAGTCAGCATTCTGCTGCTTCTGTCACAGTACAGGACTGCTGTGCAGAACCCTGATTACATGAATTACTAGCTAGTGTGAATGACTCGTGTTGCGGAGTTTTTCAAGGATTTGCAGAAATCTGTGACTTGAGGACTAGGTGCATGTGCTGAGAACCTCATATAAAAGCAGCCAGAAATTTGAGCTTGTATTCGGGCACCTATATACGCATAAGGAGTACTTTACTGTTCTACTGCTGCAGATCAAAGCATATTGACTACACACGGTCTTCTCTGGCTTATTTTAAAATTGCTGAAAGTTTGTTGTGCATTGCAAACATGCTTCTTCATCTTAGCATTCAACTTCTCTGGTAGCATTAAGTCAATATAGGCATAGCTTGTTCTGAGGGAAGGTAAAATCTGCAAAGAGCTTTAGACAAAAATGCTATCTGAAATTTGCAAATCCACTCCTCTACAGTCTTGCATTTTGTTACCACCTTCTGCTACAAGTGAAGCAAATTAGATACTTGAGTGCAGACTCAGATAATGGTTGAATTTTCCTCCAAGCTCTGGTGTTATGTATGTATAAGATCTCTAAATGTCCTATTACTTTGTTTAAAGTTCCTTGAATCACTGTACGTGTCTAAAATTCCAAAGAAAATATGTCCTTGGCATTTTAAATGTCTAAAGTTTTAAAAAACTTCAGAGACAGTTAACCATATTTGTTCCTATCCCTGCAGTTGACTGTTTTCTGTAATTTGCCATGAATTTGATTGAAAACAGAGGTGGAAATGTAACAACAAAATAACAAAACCCCTGTGACATCTCTGACTCAGACAAAACTTGACAGACAGTAGAAACTTTTTAAAAGTTGAGAACAAAATTGCATCCTATTTCCTACCTGACTAATGTTCAGGTGAGTTTGGATAAGCTTTGGATTGAATCTCAAACTTATTCTAACACGGGTAACTTTTGCCATTGCTAAATCTGGTATGTGGCATTTTGCACCTAACAGGGCAGGGAATACGTAACTGATGAGCTTGATGTGTTGGGTTTGCCTGGCCACATTTCACTGGCAGGGGGGCAGTAGGGATGGCTTCTGCTAGAAGCTGCTAGAAGCCTCCCCAAGGTCTGATAGAGCCAATGCCAGCCGGCTCCAAAGACGGATCCACCGCTGGCCCAGTGGGAGAACGAGGAGTTCCCACCTGGAGGAAGAAGGAGCAGTGGAAACGATATCGGATGAACTGACTGCAACACCCATTCCCAGTCCCCCTGTGCTGCTCGGGGAGAGCAGGTGGATAAATTTGGATTGATGTTAAGCTAGGAAAGAGGGGAGGAGTGAGGGGAAGGTGTAATTTTCAAGATCTGCTTTTATTTCTCATTTCTCTGATGTGTTCCATAATAAATTTAATTGATTTCCCCAAAATCAAGTCTGTTTTGCCTGGGATGGTAGATGGGGGTGATCTCTCTCTCTCCTTATCTCAAACGGTGGACCCTTCGTTATATTTTCTCCTCCTATCTAGCTGAGAAGGGGGATGATGGAGGAGCTGTGTGGGTACCTGGCTGCCAGCCAGGGTCAAACCGCTACACTTATTACAGATATATATCTATCAAGAGTTGTTGCATCCAGTGATAACTCAGTCTCTTTCTGGCACTTAATTTATTTTGCATTTTAAAATAAAGACTGGAAAGACATTTGGAAGTGATAGGAAACGGTTCCATCAGCTGTCTGAGACTTCAGACAGCAATTCCCAAGCGCTGTGAAACTTCCTACACATTCATCAAATGCTGTTCATTGTAGTTACCCTGTTAGAGTGAGGTACCATGGAAGAAGCCTTTTATGCCAATGTTTTTATCAGATTCCAGTGGGTGTTTTTCAAAGCAACCTAGTTCAAAGCAAGCTGGCTGCAACAATCTCCTGGACTGGCTTTAAAAGATGTGGCTCCTTAAATGTGTCCTAGCTTTATATATTGTTAAGGTTTTATTACATGGCTTGAATGACTGGGTTGGATAGTCTACAATGGCTGAACAAAATGGTGGAGTCGTTTCTTCCCCAAACTACAGTGATACAATCTGGTACAGATTCTACTGACTCTTTGAATAAATGTGCTGCTCTTCTGGGCAAACAGTACCGTTGACTTCAGGGCTGGATGACTGAGGTGATCAACAAAGTTTGATATTGAAGCGGTGTTGGATTTCACCACACTTGCTATATGTATATAGTATTTTCATAATTCCTAAAAATGCCCCATGGAAAGTGTGGGACCTAGCACTGGCCATAAAATTACGGTATTTTTTCGTTGGACTATAAGTATTTTATTCTAATTACTTTTTCTTTGAGTTTCCTTATAATTATTTTAAAATATTTGGTTTTGTTATTATTATAAAGTGGACTTATATTATTTGGAGTAGCACAGGCCCATCTCACTCTATATAAAATAAAACATAACCTGTACTGCTACTGCAGGTTGTATGTTGAATGTTTTAAATAAACCCAGGAAATTTGCCCTGTGTAGTAGATTCAAGGAGGTGAGGGATTTTTTTTTTCTTTTAAAGTTGTGCAATATTGGCATAAATGGGAAGATAAAAGTATTGTCATTAGTGGCTGCATTTTGGCTTATATTTAGAAAGAATCTAGTGTGTTCGGTAGGATCCCTGTGCATTGGAGGATGCTTTGTTTTTTCAACTGCAGCTCACCTTGTTCACACCCCTGTAGTCCCACCAGTGCAGAGCTGATGCACAAGGAAGCGTGAGTGGACTTGCTGTTCCTTTGGTGTCAGTTCCTGAAGTCAGCATAGATCCAAAGGAGTTTGATTTTCTTGACATAAAGCTAAACTTGAGCTTAAAAGGGGAGATACTGGGTAACACAGAGCAGGAGTGGCCACATGGAAGTGGTCCATCTGGGCTAGCAAATAAGCCAGTGTGCACCCAGGCATGGTGTTGAAACGGGGCATTTGGATACATTTAGGTTGTAATAACTGAGGTTTTGGTTTTGATCTCCTCCATTTGGAATGAAAGTAAGATGTTGAAGTCAGATATTTTCTCCCAGAATGGACAGATACATTTCCTGACGACTTCCAAAGATTTGTGTCTGAATAACAATATCCATTTAAGCCTTGAGGACTATTAGAAATTGAATATTTATTTGACTATGGATATTTTGAGATGACCCCCCCCAAAAAAAATTGTCATGTTGATTATGTTTGATTTTTATTATTTACAGGGGAATGTGACCTTTTTATGCTCAGAACCACAAATTGTTCCTATCACCTTTATCAGCGCCAGCCAAAGCTACTTGCTGCTACCCGGCACTCCTCAAATAGATGGTTTGTCAGTCAGTTTCCAGTTTCGAACATGGAATAAAGATGGCTTACTTTTGTTCACCAAATTGTCTGAAAATTCAGGACCTCTCTTGGTTTATCTCCGTGGTGGAAGATTGACACTACTTATTCAGAAAGAGACAGAGAACCCAGTGGAAATCAGTGAAGGTATTTAATTTTTGTCTACTCTTACCTGTCTCCTTTTACAATACAAAGGTCCAACACCACAGGATGAAGGAATGGTGAAATAAGGAGGTATCCAATGTAAAATTTTCTTTTGTTTTCCCATGGTAGAATGACTCTGTGCAGAATGAGGTAGATCTAAGCATGGAAAGTTGACATCCTGAGATCTCCAGACTCAGTCTACTTGACAATTAGCTCAGCCTCTGTGTCCTTAAACGGTGATGCTACATTTTCCTCAGTCAGGTCACATGAAGATCTTCCTGTTTCCCATCCTCAAATTGTGCTGAAGCCAGCTGGGAGCCAGCTCAACTACTGTGCTGTTCCTCAGCACAAGTTAAGGCATCCTCAGAGCTGATTTTCTTCCTTTGATTGTAGCTTTACTCTCTCTCTTTACATTATGCACAGAGTAGAGACTGACCACAGACTTCCTCTCCTCACACTCGCTTATTGACCTCCTTAGCCAGTTTGCAAGTTGCTTTGTGCAGTGCAGTTGGTGGGATGTAAGGAAGTGAAATGAGGTCACTTGTGACTTAAAATTCAGGGGAAATTGCTTTAAACACTTAGTAGAACAGCTATGCATTGACTCCCAGAGACAACAGGGAAACGATTTCAGTCTATACACAAGAGTGGCCCAGCTGCCATCCCAGTGTGACTTATATAAGCCTTGCTGGCATCCCAAACGGAATTATTCTTAGCCCAGAGCCTCTGCACATGCCTTGGTGCTGTGTAGCCATGCTGGGTGGGAGACTGTAATTTTCTGGGTATGTTCAATACCCAGTTTCCAAAGGTGAATGAGTAATAGATTGATGCAACTCACATGGAACTAAATAATAGTATTTTCTAAAAGAGCAGCTGTTTAAAAATATGTAATATTAAAATATTCCCGTACAGACTAAAAGTGGGCAGATGTGTCTATTAAAAGAAGCAGAGATAAAATCTGACAGAGTTGTCAAAGCAGAGCTGTTCCGTATGTGTGTTTCATTCTCCTTTATGACAGAAAATAGGCAGCCCTGCATCTATCCTTATTCATGTAGATTGCTACAGCCTTAGCATGCTGCAATTGCACACTGAAAACTGCGTTTCCAGCCTTTATTGCAGTCATAATTAAATTGTTGACAAAGCTGAGACAACGTCAATATTTGGTTGGGTGTATTTGGTTTTATGTAGTTCTGAAATTATGAACCTGAGCCCAGCATTTGGTGTTATCCAGAACGTTGCTAAACTGCCTACTTATACATGGAGAATATGCAGAAATTCCAAGTGCCAAGTTTTGCAGATGTCAGGTACTCACAATAAATCCATGCTTGCTCAAGAATGGACCTATTTTTGCCCCAAATGGGACCTATTTTGTTTTAATATCTTTTCAAACTTTGACAGCTTATTTTACTTCACACTGAACTTGTTCTAGTTGAAAAATCATCCATTTTTTCCTGGAATGCTAGCCTCTTATTCTGTAGAAATTGTGCATGTGTTAATGGCCATTACTGTGGAAATTGTCTCATTTTCAAATTCATAATGAAATGGCTTTTCATACATGTAACACCCAAAATTTTTTTGTTTTGTTTTGAACCGTTCTCATACCTTTTTGTGTCACTAAGTGCTCATTTGTTTCTTCTGAAAGGCTACATTAACAAAAAATATTCCATTAGGGAGGGAAGTAAATACTAGTTGTCTGTGCCTTATTTCAGTGACTCCAGCCTATTCTGAACTGCGGTTAGATTACTTTTTATCTGCACCACTGTGTGTGAGCTCAGAAGCTTGCCCACTGAGTTTACTGGCTGTCAGAATAGAGAATGTGGAGTTTCTTTGTAGCTATGTGGTGCTATTTCAAGAGCCATGAGATGCAACACTAATTTTCAGAATAAGAAGACAGAGAGGTTATTTCCCACGATGCACAAGAATCTAGAAGAGAAAAAGAGTCTACCTGGTACCGTAATCTCTCCCGTACCTTTGTTGTTTCCTGGTCAGTGAAACAATCCCAGCTCTCATGAGACCTGTGTTGAAATTCAATATAGAGGGACTTTGGTACACCCATCAATAAGCCTGTGTGCTAACTTAGTGCTGAAGGGTTTTGAAAAACACAGATCCTACTGGCACCTACTGAAGTTTGTCAGGTTTTGTGTCGGAGCCTGACACAGAGTATGACCATCTCACTGAATCTAATCCTCTGCAATCTCAGGCATGTATTCAGGCTCAATAGAGATGTTCTCTGTGCATTCCTGTGAGCTCTCAGTATCTCTCATCAGAGTGAAGATAGACATAAACAGCCGCAAAATGGTTACAATGTGCTACCAGAAAGGTGAATGGCTAGCTTGATGACTGCCTGCAGTACCAGAGGCAGGTTAGATTAAAATGTAAGATGACAAATACTCTCAAAAGCTTTCCCTTTCTTGGGCCTTTTCTTCTATGTCAGTTTGTTTCCAGAGGTAATGAGTTCTTTTCAGCTTTTTGGGAGTCAGCTGCACATTTATGGTCGCAAGTTGGAAGCAAAAGAAGGTTTGGAGAACACAGTTGTCTCCCATGTCTCTCTTTTCACTCTTAGTACTTGTTTTTTGCCAGGCACCAATCTCCACGATGGGCTTTGGCATTCTGTTAACATCAATGCCAGAAGACATCGCATTACCCTGACACTGGATAACAACGCTGCCACTGCTAGCCATGCAACCACTGTCTCAAGGATCTACTCTGGGGACAGCTACTATTTTGGAGGTAAGCGGTTTCAGAGAGGTGCAGAACAGCTTTTCATGATGCAAATCCTCAGGTGCTCACCATGGAGGTCTCCCCAAGTGCACTCTGTTTTCTGCTAAGAGCAAATGTTGTGATAACTGATTTTGGACTGCTTATGGCACTGTGGGATGATCTAAAGGTCTTGGTCAGCTCTGAGAGAAAACAAGCACAACTGCTAACACAGCTGTAAAAGTGAATTGCTGATAGTGGGAGCCAATGGGTATCTACATCTAGCTGGTCAAACATGCAGAAGCTACATAGCTGTATTAACCACAGTGATTTTTTTCCAGTTAAAAAGCCTGAGGACTATTAGTATTATCATTATTCCTGTAGATATCACTGTCTTGATCAGGCTCCGTGACTTGAGAATAAATTGACATATAGCTCAGATCTACAAAGGTATTTAGGTACTGTCCTCTCAGGGAAGTGATTGTAGGTTTAGCTCAATTTTGAAAATGGAAAGAACAGCCTTGAAAAATACTACCTTCTGCTTTTTAGAGTGCAAGCATTAGTTTAGATAAAGGGAATGTCATCAACTGTCTTTTTATCTAATATATTTCTGTATAGTGCTTACTGTAGTGAGGCTCTGATCTCAATGAACCCTCTGGATAAAGCATTAAGTGAGGATGTGCAGGAAGCTTTGGATCTGAGAGCTGGCCAAATACTGAGGAAGCTCAGATACAAATGGTTTTCTTGCTTGCTGTCCACAGGATCTTGTGATTTTACTCCGTCCATTGCCTCAGCAGCAGAATTTAACCCATATTGATTTTACAGTTTGCACAGATTTTTTTGTGAGAGTCAGTTGCTATCAGCTGTGGAGTTTAAAGCAGATGGAAAAAAACCCACATTTTGATTTTGCTTAGCACAGTGCTGTTCTGTCTCCTTTTTCTGTCTCTTTTTTCTTTCTTTTTTTCTTTTTTTTTTTTTCTTTTCTTACTGAAGGATTTATAACACAGAAGATTTCACAGCACAAGGAATGAAAAACACTTGGAATAATGAGCCTTGAGTTCTTGCATCAGGAAATCCCAGCAGAAATGGACGAATATTCCAATATTATTTCCTGCCTTTTCTCTTTTTCCCACAGGATGCCCTGACAATTTCACCGATTCCCAATGTTTAAATCCCATTACTGCTTTTCAAGGCTGTATGAGGCTCATCTTTATTGATAACCAGCCCAAGGACCTCATTTTAGTTCAGCAAGGCTCCCTGGGGAATTTCAGTGATTTACACATTGATCTATGTGGCATCAAAGACAGGTAATTATTGTTTCCTCTTTCTTGTATTTGTTCTTTTTTTCGTCCTAGTGGTTTATAAATACAGGTTGCATTAAGTGAAAATTCTAATCTGCCAACATTATGGATATTAGGCATAATAGAGCTACTAATAGAAAATATTACAGCAAAGATAGGAGGACTGGAGGGGAAATAGTTTCAATTACATGAGGCTCTCTTCACATTGACTCGTAGGAAATAGAGTATGCAAATTCAATCAAACTACAGATTGGTGAAAGGATTAAATTTTATGCATAAACAACATTTGATTACTTTGAAGTTTTAGAAGGAAAGGAAAGAGAAGGAAAAATTATTTGATTCATCAGAACATGTCACTCCCTCAATATATTAGCTGTTTTTGCTTAAGTAGACCATTTGCAATTTTTGTTGTTAGCCATTACAGCACAGCACGTTTATCATGAAGATATGGTACACCTCATACAACATACTGCCCATGCAGTAGGACAATATAATGATGAAATGTCTGTACCTACTGGAGAAACATTTCAGTTTAAATACTGATCCAGAATCCCTCTGAAGCTGAAACCTAACATGAAATACAGATTTTCTCATGAAGAGTAGAAAGGAAATAAGCAACCAATATTTTATTTTTTTTTAAGTATTTCATAATTTCTGCTTTGCTTCCTGTGGAGTGTTGGTGTCTAATTATTTCTGACTTATTTCTGCAAATGTGTACTTTGAAGTTAGTACATGGAAAAATAGTCTCTGTTTTTCTCTTTTTTTATATATATATATGTAGCTAAGTTTGAAGAATGGTAACGGAACTTCTGGAACTGCTTCAGATAGTTAAGGGACTATGAAGGGTATTTTGGAAATGTGTTAGGAGCGTAAGCATTTAACATAATTTTTTCAGACGTTATTTAGAGAGGTGAAGCTGAAGGCTGATCTCCATTATTGCTTACTATAGGAGGGATCAGCCTGTTGAAGCTGCAGTCTTTTAAAAAGTGGACAAAACTGTTACGTGAGATGTTTGTGCTCGTCTTTGTTTATGTTGGCTAACTTGTACGGAAAAAACACCGACTCTGCTGATTAAAGCTGGTTCCCTGTTTAACAATGAATTCTGGGGAATATGAATTTCACACTTTGTTTTCCTGAAATGATAGAGAGAATTAATAAAAACCAGCTGTCCTAACAAGAGGATTTAAAATGTAAACTTTCCTGAGCATTAAAAAAAGGAAAGTATTTTGCTGTTTTCTTGGAAAAACTAATTCTTTAAGATTGAGTGGAGCATTCAAAAGTAACTTACCTATTTGTTCACTGAAACAGAAGACACCGCTTCTTTTATGATGTGGAAGTGCTTGTGGGAAGTCTCTAGTGCCCTTATTGTCACCAAATCTAGGCTGCAATGTAAATCTGTGGTACTACTGCAGGTGTTCTCCTCATCTTCAGAATCCTAAGGATGACAAGCGTCAATCTGTGATCACACCATACATTATATAAAGCATCGCCATTTTTATTATGTTTAGGGCAATGTTCCAAACATAACAAAAATGTCAGTGCTTTATATAATCATTGCTTTGAATATATCACACATGGAAAGTTATATGTGTTCTAATGAAGATTAAAGCATTCTTCCAATGCAGTTCTCTAGACAACATTGAATTTATGTATCTGACTATATGATCTAAGTAGATGTATAGTAGACATGATCTGTAGAAACTATGTTCATATGATCACAAAACCAAGATAGATCAAATTCTTTTTTTCCTTCTTTTTTTTAATTTGCAATTGGCAAAAGTAATTCTTGCATGACTGGATTTGGTGTAGATCAGTAGAGGTGCCCTGAAGGGAGAAGAGAGAAGCCTGCCATGTGGGCAAGTGTTGGGCTCAAGTTCAGAAATTCTCCCTGTCACGGAGGGTGTGAGCTTCTCTGGCACCATGGAGATTGCAGCTTTCTCATCCAGTGAAATATGCAGCACTTTCTCCCTGTCTGGCAGCTCCAATAACTGTCCTGAAGATATTTTGCAGAGAAGAAGTAAGGATTTTTTTAATTTTTTTTTTTTTTTGTCCAAATCATATTATATGTTTTAGGCATCTGGGACACAATCTTGAGAGAGATTAAATTTGCAGAATTGATTTCAGAAAGTTACAAAAGTTATTTAAAGATTCACAGGGTCAAGTACTGCTGGTGCACTACTGAAGTCAAGAGTGGTCAAAGCAGCAAGGGATAGCTGGAAAGAGGGATGAAATTCAGAGAAAATAATTAAGGAAAATACAGCAAGAGGCTTTTGCAAGCCTGACTGATCCTAAGCCAGTGGATGAACTGGGGAAAGACTGAACAAGAAAGTATTCACGGAATGTGTTCCTCCTAACCATTTTTGAAAATTTTAGATTCTACAAGCCTATATTATGGCATAATTGATTACAACAAAATATAGATGGAAAGGTTTGGGAGAACAGGAGATTTGAATTCAAATCTGAAGACTGTATTGCTATCTAGTCTGCATGGTTTACCCTTGAGTATGTTTCCAAATCTTTTTCAAATTGGTTCATTGCACAAAATTATGGTAATTGCACAGTCATGGTAATTCAACTAGTCACCGTGGTTCAACTAGTGCTCTGCATTGCAGCAGCTCTGGAATATAAGAAAGTTGGACGTCTGGCTCCAGGCATGCAATATCCAGCTGCTCTTTATATCGGGAGTGTTAAAATTCTGTAAAAGAATCTTCTTCAAGAAATGTGATCTCCCTTTTCTTAATCATAAGATTTATTGCTGGGTGCACTGTATAGCACGTGTTTCTGTAATTTTAATGCATGTGAGAATTGTGTAGCTTAATTAACATGTAAATGGGACATTTGTCTTAGTTATCTAAGCAAAAAAAAACTCTTTTGAGGAATATGCCGCTATTTAGAAAACAGTTTATTTGTTACAGGCTTGTAGGCCAAGCTCATTCAGACCTGGCCTCTGAAAGCAGTGGTTAGGCAGCTCACTGCAGCTTGTGCCTGCTCTTGAAAAGAGAATTAATGACTTTGTTTTGAAAGAGGATAAACTGGGACTGCTACTGATGCCAGCAGTATGTTTCTGAGAGAGAATCTAATTGTGTAAGCATACTATACATACACTCCAGGATACCTTGTATAAAGGTATGAGCCTCCATTAATTTAAATGGAGCTATTTGAGGGACTAAGCCTTAATATCTCTTCATCCCTAGTATTTGAACGATATGTGTTCTCAAGTGAGCTTGGCATGAATGCCTTTTGTCTCCCTGTATTTGTTATTTCCATATGTCAGTAGCTATTTCTCTGGAAATAAATGCCCTGCCACTAGCTGAGCTACCAGAGAGTATACACAAACACATGCAAAAGGTGTATCCATAGAAGTACAGAAAGTTTTGCCTTACTTCCATTTGGTGGCTGGGGAGACAGTGCCAACTGAAGATGGTTTTGGAGACATAAGAGAACTTGACTCTGTTGGTGACACTGCTTTGAGCAGATGGTTTTTTTTAGAGACCTCCAAAGGCTCCTTGCAGCCTCAGCAATCCTGTGAACAAGGCCACCCAATAGCTGCTCTGGTCTGACCTGAGTGAGCAGTGCAGGATGTATCTGTGAGACCTGGGATTAGCAGATCACACACAGAAAACTCATACCTTCTGTGCTTTCGATAGTACTTTAAGACACAGTGCAGTTTGAAGTTGAACACAGTAATATGGGCTCTCCCAGTGATGGAAGAAGGCTAGTTAACACCATGTCCTAATAAGAGACTGCTTGTGTCTAGCCCTCAGCAGCAGGGCCAGCATCACTAATGTTCCTATTGCTGCATATCAAGTCATCTCTAATTTGCTATCCCCTTGGGTACAGTACCTCTACATGTTGTCCTTAGGTGACACATCCTGTGCAAGGAGAGGCATCCCCATTCCATTCATATCGGAGCTGTCTGCTCCACAGGGCAACCATGCTGTATTCCCTTCTTAACCTCCTTCCAGAAAAAGCTGTTCCTAAAAACTGTTCCCAGTGCCTTGTGAAACAGGTAAGTAGAAGCTGTAGGAGGAGAGATTTTTTCCTGTAGCAATGCGTTTGTAGGACTCTTGGCATTGTCCCCACTGCCTGCCTGCTGATAATCCAGCTAAGTTTTTTTTTTCCTTTTGTTCGTAGCATGTATATTTGCTGTGGTTGTCCAAATACAGATTGCTCAGTCTTTTCTGAGGATGTTGCAAAGTGCGATTCCCATAGTGCTCTTGTTATGAAGTATTTGAGGTCATAGCTGCCTACAATGCATTTATCCCCATTCCAGTGAGAGGTAAAGAAGAAATGAGACAGTATCCTATTAAGCCACAGAGATCTGCTCCATATTTAGAACGAAGTGGATGTAATTTTATCCTTCTTTGTTGTTGCTTTTTCAGGGTTTCTGCTTGGTTACAGTGCAAGTATGCATCAGAGGTTGTTTGCTGTACACCAAATTAATAAATCAGAAAATATAGTTTCTTACAGCATGCTGGCATTTCCCCTCTATGGCATGGTACATAGCAGAAGCCATAAGGCAGAGATATCTGGGAGCAAAGGTGCTGTGAAGTCCTTGTATTCAGACACTTTTTGTTGGGGAGGGAAACAGATACTTCTGAGTGTTTATGCAGTCTTTTGCAGCAATGCATGGATTATGTTGACCATCTCTGACCAAAACCCATCCGGCATGAGCCCGAACAAATAATTGCAGACTCTCTTTGAATTTATTTTCAGTTCAAAGTGGTCAAGTTCATGGCTACAGGGACCATACAGCCTTCTTTCCTGGTGTTTTGCAGTGTTAAGTCTCTTCTGGGAAGGGAGGGATCATCTGGAGGAGATATATTAAACCTAAAAGCTTCTGGCTGAAAACCTGAGCAATAAGAAAGTCTAATGAGAACAGAATAATGCTCTCTGTCTTAGGCCCTCAATCTGTAAGATAGAGAATGCCAGTGTCAGTAGATGAGGAGGTGGCAAGCAGCATAAAAAATTCATTTACTTCTCATAGATGCTGTAAGTCAGAAGGA